GTCATGGCCATGCAGGTGCTTATAGCGCTTTCTGCTAGGGCTTAGTGTTCCCTAGAATTTAGAATGCTTTCGAGGTATGATCTAGGGCCAGGGCTTTTCATTCCTCTGATTGTCATAGGGGCGGTCGAGCGACGTTGCCATGGGCATTGAAGTGCGTCAGTGCTGTCCGCTGTCCCTGTTGCTGTATACTGTGTTTGCTTGTTGGATCTATGAGCGCCCACTTCAGCATAGATGGAATGCGTGGCACGCCTGGCGACACTTTCCGCAAGCAACACGCGCTTGGCGCGGGAGATGAATTGCCAACAGAAAGTGTCTTCACTCAGACATACGCATGCGTTTGACCTCCTGGAGGCAGCTGGCATGCAAGTGAGCCTCTAAACCCTAAACCCTAAACCCTAAACCGTAAACCCTAAACCCTAAACCCTAAACCCTAAACTCCTGCAGATGGACACGGCGGCACAGTCGCAGCAGGCCGCAAGGCAAGATCCTTAGCTTCAGCCCCAATGAGCCCTGCGAATGTCTCTGGGACTACCTTAAGAACCCAAAACCTACTTTTTTGTAGGGTCCCTATAAATCCCATATTAGGGTCTATAATAAGAACCTACAAAATATAGGTTTTGGGTTCTTAAGGTAATGTAGGAACCTGATTCAGACCCCCTGGCCCTATAACCCCAATATATTGGGATTCATATGAAAGAAAGAACCCTCATAAAGATTCAGGGTTTCTTGGCCCCAACAAATTGGGATTCACATTTTAAGAACCCTCATAAAGACCCAGGGTTTCTTAGCCAGGTCCCTGAGCTACATCCTTTGTCTACGGTTTTAGGGTTTAGGGTTTAGGGTTTAGGGTTTAAGGTCTAGGGTTTAGGGTTTAGGGTTTAGGATTTAGGGTTTAGGGCTTAGGGTTTAGGGTACTGCTGCCTTCCGTGGCCGATGCAAGTCTCAAGGGGTTGGATCCTCGTGAGCAAAGTGCTGTGCACGATGGGTCTACTTTTAGGGGCCTTACAATAATAACGGTTATTATTATAATAATAACGGTTATTAAATAACCTATACGATTCTTGGAAGTTTCTTATGATATGTAGAGTAGAATCTCCCCCCAAAAGCCCCAATTCTAATTATGAAGGCCCCTACATTATTGCGAACAGGGCTTCATAAACCCTAAACCCTAAACCCTAAACCCTAAACCCTAAACCGTTTGTTACGTGCTTTTTGGCATGTCTTGGGTTTGGAAAATTAGTTCGTGGTGGATCCTCAAGCCCTACATGGCCCCAAATCCTACTAAGAACTTAAACTCCAGACTCCAAACCCTGGTTTAGGGTTTAGGGTTTAGGGTTTAGGGTTTAGGGTTTAGGGTTCAGGTTTTAGGGTTTAGGGTTTAACATTAGCTTCAGGGCGCGGCACGCGGAGGGCTCATACTCGAGGGCACGAGCCCTTGTGATGTATTAGAGGCCTCAAAACAAGCGAAGCCGGCCAAGAGGGACGATATGGAGGCCACCTTGGGGTTCAAATATACAATGCCACATTCGTATACCCCAGAAGCCTGTTCGAATTGATTGAATAGAGAAGGAGGCACCCGTATTCTGGGATTCACTGCAGTTTCCTTGCGGCCTTTGTAGAAACCCTCACAGAAGCCCCTAATTCTAGGTTTCTGCTGGATTAAAACTCTACCACCAAACGCTAAATCCCACACCCCCTAAACCCTAAACCCTCATAGGAAAGGTTCCGAGACGAGGAGTGGGAGTGGGATTCTGAACGCTTAGAATCGGGCTTGGCTCGTACCCAGGGATTTAGATCTTAAGGTTTAGCTCCGGCCTAGGGTTTAGGGTTTGGGGCTTTGGGTTTAGGGCTTGGGGGCCTCGGGTTTAGGGCTTAGGGTTTAGGGTCTAGGGCCTAGGGTTTAGGGTTCAGGGCTTTGGGTTTAGGGCTTAGGGTTTAGGGTCTAGGGCCTAGGGTTTAGGGTTCAGGGCTTAGGGTT